TGATAACAGACAGTTGGGATCGCGGCAAGATTCTCTCTGCAGACCCATTCTCACAGCGTTTATCAACCTTTTTCTTACTCAATATCAAGCCACACTTATTGTTTTTACTTCGGCTGTGACTTTGTGTGTGCTCAGGGTGAGTTTGGCTGTGTTTCGCTGTGTATCGCTAAACAAGGAAACCACACCTCCACGGAGCTCAGCGCGATTCACAACGTCCCGACCAATCAGAGCACACTGGGCTCACAGGGAGGGTGGGGGCTGGAGCTATTGGAGCTACAACGATCCGTTAAAGGCAGAGAGTGAAATTCAGTGAATACACGTAGTTTACAGAGATGCTGTATGAGAAACCAATGTGAGTTTGGAAAATTGCACAATATAAATCTATTCTAGTAGACCTCAACAATGGAATTCTGATCAGTGGAAATGGCCATGACATGGGTCCTTTAATAGAACTTCAGCTCGTTTTGATCTCTGTAACCAGAGAAGTAAGTCTAATTTGTGGGGATGTTTGCTCCTTTCTTTCCAGTGTATGATGTGTCGGGAGCCGCTAGCGACAGAAACTGCGTCGTCCTCAGTGACATCCACATTGACATCATGGACTACATCCAGCCTGCGTCCTGCACTGATGCAGAATTCAGACAGATGTGGGCAGAGTTTGAGTGGGAAAACAAGGTAGGCTTTGCTTTTCTACTTTGTGGCTAGACAGATTGGCTTTAAAAAAAGTGTGTTTGATATCATTTGTCATACACACAGGTTTTTTGTACTTCCTACATTCAAAAATCCATAAACCAAAATCAATATTTAGGACTGTGAGCATTGAAGATGTTCCCTAATCAATCTTTCTTTTTCATAGGTGACAGTGAACACCAACATCACTGATCTGAACGAGTACCTTCAGCATATCCTTAAGTCCACCAACATGAAGTGTCTGACTCCTGAGAAGGTTGGTATAAGACATCACATCAACAGAGATAATCATTTAAATGAGGTTTTAATGCTGGCTGGACCAATAGAAATAAAGGAAATAGGCCATTAGTTTTGGTGCTGGTGCATTTTGTAACGAATCAGGTAAATCCTCTGGTGTTGTTACTCTGTACTACTCTCAACTCTTATCCTTCTTTTCTCACAACCCAGGCGCTGTCGGGCTTCTGCGGCTTCATGGCTGCCAACCTCTATGCTCGTTCAATCTTTGGCGAAGATGCCCTGGCTAACGTCAGCATCGAGAAGCCCATCCACCTGGGGCCTGATGCTCCTGTCAACGGACACATACGCATTAGAGCCAAAAGTCAGGTGGGTCTCAGCTGCTGCACCATAAACCTTTATACATCTAAGAAGTAAAGGCTTTGTTGAATTTATTATCTTTCAACTTGATAAATGCAGCAAATTAGTCTTTTGGAAGGATACCATTGAATTAAATACTTTATTGGACGAAATGGCCAGGGAGAGTGATAATGTGAAACAGCCCATAGCTCTGTGTGATGTTGCTCTAAAAGCTTTTGCTCTTATCAGTGTCTAGAAATGCTATAACAATAAATCTTCTCCTTTCTTTCACAGGGGATGGCCTTGAGTCTCGGAGACAAAATCAACCTCTCCCAAAAGAAGTCAAATGTCTGAGACAACTCTGGTCCAGCTGACCCTTCTGCTGTTCTCTTTCATCCTCCATCTTACAGTCTTTTCATCACAGCTAATTAAGAACTCTATATGGTCAGTGGCTTTCCGCTGTTTTCTTTCTTTCTTTTTTTTTTTTACATCACCTCTGTCTGGAAACTAAATTTCAGTAATGTTCTTTCTCTGTCCTGTTTAATTTTCAATAAACTATGTATTAAAAGAAAGACTTAATTTTGCTTAATGCTTTATTCACTGTCACTGATTTTGTAGTTTAATTTTGGGCAGATTTAACTTAATGCTAAAACAATTATTTTTAAAATAATTATTGTTTGTTTGCCCAACTATTCGAAACTTTATATTAGGTTTATCGTTCTTTGTGCCCAAGTCACTGTTAAAGGTTTTAATTGATTCATTCATTCAACTAATCGTGTCAAAAGCCATATTAAGAACAGTTGGACATCTGTATAGAGGAAAAGAGGATGAGGTTCATGAGAAGGAGTTTCTAATTTCTTTATTTAGAAATGACTGTTGAAGGGTGAAGTTTGGAAAATACTTTATAGATGGCCATTGTTAAATGGCTTTCACCTTGTGTGATCTCGTGCACAGTGTGAAGATGAACATCAGTAGTCCAGTACCCCAACAATGGCATCATGAATACTCTTAATACATCCATATCCTTAGCTTGGACACCATTTATTTTGACCTCAGGTACTACTGAATATTGCAGTGATTTCAAAGGTACTCTCAAAACCATCTGCAAGTGTTACCTTCACTGATCAAATGAGATTGAGATGGATTAGTGTTGGCAGAGAGTTACATATTCCACTTTCCCTCCTGTTTATGTATGAGTAAAGGGACATTTCTGGGAATATGCCAGATTAAAGGGTCACAACCCCGGTCATACATTTGCAATATCTCTGAAATCTGTCTCTCCAGGGGTTTAGATAAAGGCTGAAAGGTGGCTTTGAGGTCAGAGCCTCAGCTGCTAAAATAAACAGCTGGCTATCTGGCAGCAGTTACTGGCCGTTTCTCAATGTTGAGTAAAGCTGCTGCAGAGCCACTATTTCAAGTATACTACGTCATTGAGTGGCTCCGAAGGACTGTTTAAATGCCCAGCATTCGGCGCCACTCAATGACGTAGTATACGGAGAAATAGTGGCTCTGCAGCAGCTTTACTCGACATTGNTTGCAGGCAGTAGCTACTCTGTGCGCCCGGTCGACCGCAGGAGGGGAAGGAGCCTTTATGGAGTTGTTCCTGGCAGAAACGTTTTGGTGCCGAAGCCTTTCCTTCCCCTCCTGCGGTCGACCGGGCGCACAGAGTAGCTACTGCCTGCAAGACGCAGAGTGACACCCCGCGCACCTCGGATCCACAACTTCCAGACCAAAGAGCGCATCCTGAAGCTGGCGAGGGAGGCCGGTCCGCTCTCTTTCCGCGGAGGAAACATACACATTTTCCCGGACTACAGCGTGGAGGTATCAAAGAAAAGAGCCACATACGCCGCAGTCAAATCGGAGCTGAGAAATGCGGGGCTCGGATACAGGATGTTTTTTCCTGCCAAGCTACAGGTCACTGACAAGAGTGGACAGAAACACAAGTTTCCTCTTTTCTTCACAGCGGCCGTTCAGGTGCGTCCTCTACACAGCCTGTCCCATAAACGTGTCTAATAACTGTTAAATAACTGGGTTGATATTATAGATGCTTTCGTCTTTCTTGGTTGAATATATTTTCTTTATTATTATTATGGTCGGTATTTTATAACACTGTTTGGTAAGCGTCTTATGTGTGGAACTAAACTCGGGACAGTCACTGACTTTTGTTGCGCTGGTCCTTTATTATACCTGCTTAGGCCACTATCACACTGGAGCACGGAGACACGCAAATACTCACGCACGCATACTGATAGGGGTAAACTCATACATGTCTATAAAGCAGTCAATGCATGTTCTGTTCCCTACATATATATTACTGTTTTCCTCCATGTTACCACTATTGTTATGAATGTATATACCCACCTGTATGTGGCAACACTCTTTAATTGCTCCAATCGTTATTACCGTCCTTTCATGGCTTCTGCACAATGTAATGTTACATGTTGTATACTTTTTTTGTTGATGTTACTATTGACAACAGAGTTTTAGTGTAAGTTAAATTATGTTTTTGAGCTGGCAATTAAGTGCACAGTTCAAGCCCCACGTCCCCTCAGGGATGCTGTTTTTCACAATTTCAGAGGTTTTTATGCCATCAGTTTAGTTTTCCATTTTTTTTTTCTCTCTCTTGTCCCATTATTCTCCTTTGCCCCTCTCCACACCCAATACCCAGCCCTACCCTGCTCCGCTTCTTTTGTTACTCTTTGTCCCACTAATCTCTTAGAATATGACAACTACATTTGACTGCAATCAAGTTCGGCCCATCCACTTTTTATCCTTAATCACTAAAGGTATGAACAGCTGGGTGAAAAGACAGAAAATAGACTCTAATCTGCAACGGCTGCACTCAGACATAGCCTTTCTACAGGAAACTCACCTGAAAAACAACCACGTTAAGTATCTCAAGAGGGGATGGGTTGGCCAGGTTTTCCACTCACAGTTCAATGCCAAAGCCAGGGGGACAGCAATCCTCATACATAAGGACATTCTATTTCAAGCTAAGGAGGTGATCACACATTAACACTGCATTGGATAGATCATCTAACAGGGCTCAGCCTCTTACCAAATCTGCTAAAGTTATCAACGATTTCATTACTTAAAATGCTGTTTCGGATATTTGGAGATGGTTAAATGTAACAACCAAAAAGCATTTTCCTTCTTCTCCAATGTTCATCACACATATACCCGCATTGACTTCTTTCTCTTAGATAATAGACTACTGGGAAATGGTAACTCCTGCTCATATGAAAGTATAACAGTTTCAGATCATGGAGCAGTCTCATTTCATATAACATTGCCTAACTCCCTGAGACCCTCTCGAAACTGGAGACTTAACTGCCTCCTTCTGGCTGACAAACAGTTTGTAAGTCATACCACTTCTCAAATTATCTTCTTTCTTGAAACTAACACTTCCGCTGAAATCTCTCATCCAACCTTATGGGAGACCCTCAAGGCCTACCTCCGTGGGCAAATCATTAGCCGCATTCACACCGCAGTACTTTTCCCACTTTAGTTCCGATATAGTTCCGAAATGTCGCGTTCACACCAAAAAGAGCCGGAACTAAAATTAGTTCATCAGATCCTTTTTTACCCCCAGTCCCCAACTCCGGGGACTTCCGGCCGGGGACTTCGGGTGGCAGTATACGCCGTGAAGTTGTTTGCGGCCTGCCAGTAAACCCAAAGCAAAAGAAGATGAAGTGATGTCTGCGGCTTCATTTGCTTAATCCTCCCCCAGGGACTTATTCCGGTGTGAACGCGATCTGTACTNCGGATATTTGGAGATTTAAATTTAACAACCAAAAAGCATTTTCCTTCTTCTCCAATGTTCATCACACATATACCCGCATTGACTACTTTCTCTTAGATAATAGACTACTGGGAAATGGTGACTCCTGCTCATACTCCCTGAGACCCTCTCGAAACTGGAGACTTAACTCCCTCCTTCTGGCTGACAAACTGTTTGTAAGTCATATCACTTCTCAAATTATCTTCTTCTTGAAACTTCTTGAAACACCTCAGCAGAAATCTCTCATTCAACCTTATGGGAGACCCTCAAGGCCTACCTCCATGGGCAAATAATTGAATACTCTTCCAAGGCAAAAAAAGTAAGGGACTCCAAACTCATTGACATCTCACGCTCTATTTTGGAGATTGACAATCTCTACTCGTCCTCCCCATGTCCAACACTTTTTAAAGAAAGGCTGCGTTTACAGACAGAATACAACTTACTTTCCACAGACAGAGCTACACATCTAATTACTAAGTCTCGTTTTGCTGTTTATGACTCAGGTGATAAGGCTGGGAAGTTGTTAGCCCAACAGGCTCGTCAAGCTCAATCCACTCGTCTTATCTCTAAGATTTATAGTGAAACAGGAGAAACAGTCACTGACCACAGGGACATCAATGATACCTTCAAAGAGTATTACAGCGGTTTATACAGCTCTGAATGTGATAATCTCTCACAACTCAACCATTTCTTTGATAAACGTACCTTCCCCTACAGTTCCAGCCGAACATAACTCTCTATTAGGAGGCCAGATTTCCAATGAACAAATTCTAAGAGCTATTCAATCGTTAAAATGTAATAAAACACCTGGACCAGCCGGTTATAGTTCAGAATTCTATAAGAAATGTGCGCCCCAACTTTGCCCCCTGCTCAAAGACATGTTTAATGAATCCCTTTCCTCTGGCTTTCTTCCACCTACCTTACGACAGGCTGCAATTACTCTCTTACCAAAAAGGGGAAAAGACCCACTTCAATGCGCCTCCTATCGACCAATCTCCCTACTTAATGTGGATTACAAAATGTTATCCAAGGTCCTAGCTTCGCGCTTGGAGAAGGTTATTCCACAGATTACATGTATCTCGCCAGACCAAATTGGCTTCATTTCAAACAGACACTCAAGCTCCAATCTTCGGAGGCTTTTCAATATTGTCTACTCATCTTCTTCTTGTTCCCCCGAAATGGTGATATCTCTGGATGCTGAAAAAGCGTTTGATCAAGTTGAATGGCAGTATCTATTTTTTACTCTTAACATTTTTGGATTTGAGGATTCCTTCATTTCATGGATTAAACTCCTCTATTCTCAACCACTAGCCTCTGTAATCACTAATGGTAAACAATCTGAATATTTCCCTCTTGGCAGGGGCACACGACAAGGCTGCTGTTTATCCCCTCTATTGTTCGCCATTGCTGTCGAACCTCTACCCATTGCTCTAAACAATCTGAGGACTTCTTGGGTGTGATGCGCGGAGGCTTTAGACACAAAATATCCTTATATGCCGATAACATTCTCTTATATATTACGGACCCACTAACATCTGTCCCCCCTATTCTCAAAATCCTAGATCAATTTGGTACATTTTCAGGCTATAAAATCAACTATGAAAAAAGTGAGATGTTTCCCCTTAATCCACCAGCCGCTTTCCACTTTCCATTCAGAATTGTCCAAAAGGGCTTTAAATATCTTGGGATTGAAATCCCACCCTATTTTTCATCCCTCTTCACTAAGAATTTTGGCACACTGTTTGAAAAATGTAAGAAAGATATGACTAGATGGACTAACCTACCTTTGTC